AGTTTATTTCAAATTCCACACTCTTGAAGTTTATTTCAAATTCCACACTCTTGAAGTTTACTTCAAATTCCACACTTCTGAAGTTTATTTCAAATTCCACACTTCTGAAGTTTATTTCAAATTCCACAGTCTTGAAATGCATTTGAAACTTCACAGTCTTGCAATGTTTCAGATTCCACAATCTTAAAATGCATTTCAAACTGCTGTCTTGCAATATATTTCAAATTCCACAGTTTTGCGATTTATTTCAAATTCCATTCTTGAAATGTATTTCAACTTCCAGAGTAAACTTCAAATTCCAAAGTCTTGAAATGCACTTCAGATTCCAGAGTCCTGAAATAGATTTCAAATTCCAGAACCCATTTCAAATTCAAGATCCTTGAAATAGACTTCAATCCCCATAGTATATTTCAGACTCCAGAATCTTGAATTTGATTTCAGATCCAGAGAGGGGGAAAGGGGAAGAGTTTGAGGGTTTTGTTGGGATTTGCTGCTGCTGCTGCTGCTGCTGCTGCTGCTGCTGCTGCAGGTGGAGAAAATGCTGAAGTCGCTGCAGCAGCAAGTGGAGAGTGCAGAGCTGAAGGGAACTTTGCCGCTGCGGAGTCAGCAGGTGACGGCGCTGCTGCGCTGCATCTTGGCTGCGCTGCAGGGGCCGGAGCAGCGGCAAGCAGCAGCAGCAAAGCTGCAGCAGCTGGAGCAGCAGCTCAAGGGCTTGCCGGGGCAGCAGCAGCAAACTCTCAAAGCTGCAGACGCCAGCAACAGAGAAGCAGAAATCCTCAGAAGTTGTGTTGCAAAGGCCGGCCCTTCTGTCTACGACTCCCTCGACGCAGCCATCAGAACTGCCAAGGAAGTGAGCTGCCAGTCTGCTGCAGCAGCAGCGCAGCAAAGCAGCAAACCGAAGCAGCAGCAAAGCAGCAACGCAGTCAACCTTGCTGCAGCAAAGCTGCAAAGCAGCAAGCCGAAGCAGCAGCAGCAGCAGCCTCTAACGCTCGCGAATTATCCCCTTTGTCCTTGTTTGAAGTGCAGCAAGCAGCAGCAGCAGCAGCAGCAGCAGCAGCTTCAAAGACATGAATTTCCCGCTTCCTCTTGTTTGAAGTGCAGCAGGCAGCAGCAGCAGCTTCTAAGACTCATGAATTTCCTCTTTTCTCTTTTTTGAAGTGCAGCAGGCAGCAGCAGCAGCTTCTAAGACTCGTGAATTTCCCCTTGTCTTTTTTTTGAAGAGCAGCAGGCAGCTCTTTCGGGCTTTTGAGTCGAAGTCGAGGCCTTGAGTTCGGACTTGTGCGCTGCAGAGCAAAGAGGCCTCAGCCGAAATTCAAGAAGCCACAGTGGAGTTCGCAGCAAAAGCCACTTCGGACTTGGAGGGCCAGCGGCACTTCATGTTGGCTTCCGTTTACGACTTGCAGCTGAAGCAGGAGGCGAAGCAGATGGCGGGGCGTTTCAAAAGTTTGTTGTATTTGCACAGACACGTGGACCTCGCGGAGCGCAGAAAAAACGAAAAGAGCGAAGCTTTCAAAACCCTTCTTGCAGTTTCTCGCCAAGAGGTCTTCGAACTCCAAGAAGGACACAGCAGCAAGGTTCTCGAGTGGCAGCAAAACGCTCTTGTGCAGAGAGTCAAGGAAGACGACAGGTGCTGCACTTTGCTTTTTGTTTCTTTCCTTTTGCTGCTTTGCATGCAGCAGCAGATGCATTTTCTTACAAAGTGCTGCTCCCAGCAGCTCCCAGCCTCCCCAAGGTCTCAAGCAAAAAGACAAATTCAAAAAGAAATTCCCTTTTGTCTGCAGAATGCTGAAGGAGCTCTCAGGCCCTCTCGGCCGGGCCTTCCAAGAGGTGCTTTGCATGCACTGACATGAACCAAAAAAGAAAACATGTATTTGCAAAATCTGAGTTTCCAGCTTTCACTCATCAGTTCGAAGACGCGTTTGCTTCAAGAACTGAACCTGCAGATCAGCACCGCTGCATTTCCCGTTTTCTGTTTTTGTTTTTAGACTAGCAAGTCAGCACCACTGCATTTTCTGTTTCTTGTTTTTGCTTTAGACCTGCAGATCAGCATCTCTGGATTTTCCTTTTTCCGTTTTTGTTTTCAGACCATGGCCGAGCTGCTGACAGCGCGAGAAGACGAAATTTCGTCCATGGTGAATAACCTCTCGGGCTCTGTGGGTTCGATAGTGCAGCAGCGGTGTTCGAAGCTGACTGGCAACTGGAGCCAGTCTTCTTACACGCGGAAGGCTTTGAAGGAGTTGAAGGAACTGAAGCAGCAGCAGGAGTCGCAAATAAAAGCAAAAGCAGATCAGCAAATGGAGCTGCTGCGCACATCTCTGCAAGCTGCCCACGACGCTGCTGTGCGCCACTCCCGCGTGCTTTCGGAGCGCGAGCTCGCGGCGCTCACGAAGCTGCACAAGGCTTTCAAGAAGGAGCTGCCGACTCACCACGCAGCAGCAGCAGCAGCAGCAGCAGCAGCAGCAGACACGCAGGCCGAGGCTCTCGGCGCTGCTCGCAGGTGCAAAGGAAGTTCCGGAAAGATCGTCACTGAGATGTTCTCTGCATGCTTTGCAAACGCAGACTCGCAGGACAAGTCCTCTCCAGCCCAGCCCCCCCTCTCCTTCGACTCCGACAAAATCGACGCAATTCGCAAAGAAGCTCTTGAAAAACTTGCTGCAGCTTTTGCCCGCCGCGAAGAACTCCACAAACAGGCGGAGGCGCAAAGGCTCGACCACCTCGAGAAGCACCGCCAAGCAGTCTTGAAGTTCATCACGGAAACTTCGAAACTCGCCGTGAGCCTCGCTGCCAGGGCCCCGCCCTGCAGCCCCACTGCGTGGCAGCAAAACCCGCATGCATGCACGCGTGCATGCATGCACGCGTGCATGCATGCACGCATGCATGCATGCACACATGCATGCATGCACGCATGCATGCATGCATGAGGGCTCCGCGGGAAGCCGAGAAGTCCCCGCTTGGAAGTGGGGCTGCGCATGCAGTGCGGTGTACGTACAGTCGGACCGCGCGCGCAGCGCCGTCAGCAAAGTCGCAACTCTTGCGGAAGCAACAGCAGCAGCAGAAGCAAGTCTGGGGGCCCCCCTGGTGCGGCACATGGGTTTGTCTCGAGCTTTTGAAGATTTGCTGCAAGTCCAGGCGCTGCCAGACAGCACCCGCAGCAAAGTTCTGACTCTGAGACAGAAGCAGCAAGCCACTTTCCAGGCTGTCCTCGATGCCCACAACAAAAAGCTCCAACTCGCCCACTCCACTGCAGTTGTGGGCCTCAAGCGCACGTAAGTCTAAGTCCAGTTTTCTGCGAAAACACCCACGCCCCGCTCTCCACTTGGGGCTATTTAAAGTCATTTTCGACCTGTTTCCTATAAGCCTCATCCCGCAGCTGCACTAGCAGCAGCAGCAACAGCAGCAGCAACAGCAGCAGCAGCAACAGCAGCAGCAGCAACAGCAGCACTGTCACCTGCCAGCTTGGGGCGAAGACACGTGCATGCAAAAGACTCTCATTTTGTTTTATTTGGACGGCACGCCCCTCCTTGGTTTCTAGATTTACATATGCGGTGAAGTGCTCAGCATTCTGTGTTTGTGAGCTCCACTTTATGTTGAATAAATGATAAATTATTTGGCACATTGTCAAGTAATTCTTCTGCGAGATGCGTTCATTTTATTATCCAAGACGTTGACGTATGTTGTTTAAATTAGTTACAATTATTTTCAGTTTCATGCCCCCGGCTTGGTCTCAGGTGGGGACAAGAAAGCAGCGGAACTCCTTTGTCAATTCTGCGCTTTTTGTCTTTCTCCATGTATTTGCTTTTGTATTTGTCTCTTTTTTCTCTCAGAAACAATCGCTACATAGAGGGACTGAAACAAGCCATGTACAAACACCGAGAAGAGACAGAAGAATTGGCCAGGCAGGCGTTGGAGAAACTCGCAGAAATCCACAAAAAAGATATCGAGGAAAGGACTCAACTCAAGACTCTTTTGGCCAACGTGCGAAATGCATTTAAATATATACATATACACATATATATATATATGGTTATATGTATAATATGTAATATATTATATCTTATATATATATATACGAGGCCCCACCCGTTTCTAGCACTACGTTGCACAAACTAGTTCAACATATACTTTCGTAAATATGGACAGGTGCACTTGTGCAACTGTCCATATTGAACTCGCATAGTTGTGCATTTAAATATGCAAATATATATACCTGTGAATTCACTCCACTTCAACTTCAAATATGACACATAAATGTTTGCAAGACGCACTCCGTTGCATGTTTGAACAGAGCATTTCTGAAGCTTTGGTGCTGACGGCAGAGGCGGAGGCGCGCACAGAAACCTGCCAGAAGCAGCTAAAGCTCCTCGAGGGATATAAAAGCCATCAGTATGACTCTGCAGAGCTCAAGTCCAGACTGGACGAGGCTGCTGCAGAGGAGCAAAGTCTGGTCAAACGTGCGCAGGTAAACAGCACTTTTGCTGCAGCACTGGTCAACACGGAAGAACAAACACAACAACGAGGAGAAACACAAATATCGGAAACACGAACACAAAAGTTTAAGTGAAGCTGCAACTACAATAGGGCATCTGCACTTATGCATTCGCCCGCTTACTTCTCTCATTCATGTTTGTGGCGCTTCTGCACCGAAAGAATGCTCCCAGTTCTGCATGTCTGTGATCTTCTTGCATGCGCTGCGTTGACATAATGGAGCACAAAGCTGCACACTATAAGCGTGCATGCATTGCCGGTTTATTTCAAAAGCACACTTTTCTCGCGCGGGTCAACTCTTGATGGTTGGTTGCTCATTGGGTCTATCTGCGCATGCATTGGCTGATTGCACTTCTTCTGGATATATTCATTGCCTCTAACGGCTTTCAACCAATTGTTCTAGAGTTCAAACTTAGGATGAAAACACAATGTTTTCGTACCACTGATGAAGCACGCCATACGATGTGGCACAACACTGGAGCTCAGCCGCTGGGAATCCAGGTTCACTTGCAGCCTGTCACTTCGGGCCTCCATGAGATGAATGCTGGCTGCAGGAAGAAGAAGAATCGCGTCTGGAAGACCAGAAAACAGCCTTTGAAATGCTTGGCGCCAAGGAGATGGAGCTGGTCGAACTGCTGCATGCGCATCAGCTGCATGTCAGTGACAGCAGCCACATGGAAATAGCCGCGGCAGAGCTCCATGAAGCAGAGGTGCACAGCGCCACAGAACGCATTACAGAGCTGCTGCTGCAGCACGCCAAGACCCAGTCCGCAGCAATATTCAGCATTGTCGTAAGCAACCCTAGCCGCAGACCCAGATATTCTTGAAATGATCAATGGCGCAAGCCGAAAAAAACAAGGCAGGCAGTTATGCTTTACACAACCACTGAAAGCTTGTTTATACTCACTTAAGTTCAAAGTTTCACCCGCACAGCCAGGTATTCATGCCTGCACTCTTGTCAAACGCATGCAGACTAGCGGTGCTCCCGCGGTGGAGGCCGACGTTGCTGACTACTGCGCGAGCTGGGAGAAGGTGCTGGCCACCTCAGCAGCAACCAAAGCCGAAGACCAGCAGAGGCATAAAGCATCCAACACCGACCGCATGCATAGCCTTATGAAGTCCCAAGAAGCCCAAAACCTGACAAGGCGCAAGCAGCAACTGCATGTATCCCACGAGATCATCGAGGCACGTCCTGCGGAACGCATACACTCTACAGCTTACTTTAATGCATTTTGGAGCCTTGCATTCAACTGAACTGAATCAATTCAATTGAGATGCTTCTGTATATCATAATCAGTTTAAGCAACAGTTCATTCAAACTGCCGAAAGTACTAAGGCCAGAACTCTGCAAAAAGCTCCACAACTTCAAGTGCACAGCATACAGCAAACACAGCCACAAAACAAGCATGCGCATATAGATTTGTTCATTTGCCTAGATGTTCGGTTGCCTGCTGTCTGTTCATATTTATCTTCTCCTTGTGTCTGATCGTTGTTGCATATTTCAGTTGCAACAGTACCAGGGTCCGATGGCGACAGAGAAAAGCCGATTCGTGAATGACTTGTTGCACCAGCTGGCCGTGTACCAAGCGAATGCAGACTTCGAGGCGGGGAAAACGGCTTTGGACACGAAAAACGGCGAAGAGCTGAGGGCCGTGGAGGCCGAGCTCGAAGAGCTTGAGGCCCTGAGCAAGCTCGCTGCGGAGCCAGCGAACTTCAGCCAGGCTGCTGCTGGCTCAGCAGACGGAGCCGATGAGGCTGCACAGGCTGAAGACTCAGGAGAAACTGATGGAAAGGTCCGGGGCAGCGCAGAGGATCCAGAGGCATCCGGTGCAGAGAAGCAACTTGGGGAGGACTCTGCTGCGGGCCCCACCAGCAGCGGAGAAGCTGGAGAAAACGCAGCAGGGGCGGGAGAAGGACAGGAAGGTGGTGAAGAATTGCAAAGTGGCAGAGATGCGGTGGAGGAGAAGCGGCGGCAGCTGGAACTTGCGTTGGCCGCGGGAGATATAAAAGGGGCTCAAGCGCATCTCGTTGAGATCTACAAGCAGCGCATGAGGTACGCCGAAGAAGAAGCTGATCGGGAAAGAATGCTGCAAGACCAGCGCACGCAGCAGTTGCTGCAGGAGAGGCGGCAGCGGCTGCTTGAGAAGAAAGCCCGGCTGGAGGCGGAACGGCAGCAGGCCCTGGAAGAACTGGAGAAAGCGAAACAGGAAAAGCTTGACAAGCTGCAGCAAGAGCTGCAGCAGGACCTTGTGGACTTTTCCATAGAGTTCGAAGTCGAGCCGCACGAACTTGACAAGCTCGCTCGCCAACTCTGGACAGAATCCCACCAGCGCTACCAGAAACAGCTGCGGGAGCTTGAAAAGAGGCAGGCACAAGACACGGAAAGTGGCTACGAAGCATTCCTCAAGGAGTGGGAATCAAACCACGACGGAGAGGTTGAAGTAAGTCTACACAGTGCAGGCAACAGCTCCTGTCTGCACGTAGATATTTAATGAATTTTAACTATGAAAAGAACCATACTGAAGAATTTTTGTATAAAAATGTACAGTTCACCACGGTACAAATGTAGTAAGCAGTCATATAGGCAGAGCTGAAGAGAAGTTGAACAGAATAGAGGAAGAGAAGCTTTGCTGCTTTGCCTGCTGGTCACAGGCTGAGCTTCAACTTAGGCATGTGGCCTGGCGGGCAGCTGCGAGAGAATTGGAAGACCACCAGCTGCACGAAAAACACGAACTCGAAGAGTCATGGCAAACGGCCCTGGAGGGTGTGTTGAGCTAGCATTGAATCCTGCGTGTCATACTTAGGTAGCATATGTGTATGTTCGTGAATTTGTTTAAGTTACGCTTTTCCACATTGTATCCCACGAAAGTTAATTGGTCCCTGAACTTCTTGCCTGCCGTTTTCAAATTTCCACACCTGACTGTAGGCAAATCTTCTAGAGAAGGAATCGCTCCAGACAACACTGTTTCCCCTAGTGATCTCCTCAGGGCTTCTCTCAGCGGCTGCCATAATACGCACTGTCTGTTTTGAGGCCAAACATCATGTCTTCAGGAAAGCTTAAAATGTTGGCTGCAAAGGGGAGCGAAGCAGCGAAGGAGTATCTCGAAGAGATAAAAGAGAGTCAGTTCATCAAAAGAAGCTCGGCATGCAGCGTTCTGGACATTCTGCATGCAGCCGCCAGAGGTCTTATAAGTTAATCGTGAACGACTTTGTGCATACACGCTTCTACTTAAGGTACACAAAGCATCTGTGCGTAATGGACTGCAGAAAGGAAACAAATGAGTGAAGTCTGGCAGCAGCGCTTCCAGCAAATTCGGCAAGAGCAAGCGGAGGCCCAGAGAGCCATAGAGGAGAAGCAGGCAGCGTACAAGGCTCAAGTGGGAGAGCGCATAAGAGCCGTTGAAGTGAGGGTTTTGTTTTTTAAAGCGAGTGCATATAGCTTTTCAGGAATAAGTGAAAAAGCACGCGTGCACACATGTCCATGCACTAATCAGTTTTGGATACAAGGAACGAGTCCAAATAGCGTTTGCCAAGTGCCCGATGATTGAAACATCAGCAATGAAAGATCAGCAAATTTCCAGGGGTCTTGGCTTTTATGCAGCATCCGCTGGTGCTTGAAACCTCATTAATTCCTGTGTAAAGTTTCACCGAATTTCTTCCCTAGTTTTTTCTGCTCACTAGAAAAGTACGTAAAGTGCATATGTTGTAGTGCAGTGGGTACTTCGCATATGTGACAAATGAAATATTTACAGGAGCAGTGGGCACAAAAGCTGCGGGATCTCAAAGACGAAGAGTGGACGAAACTTCAGCAAGTGCAAGAGCTCGCGGAGGCGGGCATAAAGGAACGCCGAATGATGATTGCCGCAGCCACGGAAGCAAGAATGAAGGCAAGTAAAGGGGAAGGAGGCGAGGCCGGAGGCCCCACGGGGGATACAATGCACGACCGGTTGCTAAATGAGCTGACGGCAGATCTGCGTCAGCTGGAACGCGCTCTTCAAGCCGAGAAAAATCGCCAGCAAGCGAAATATCAGGAGAAACTCCTCAAGAGGATGCAGCAAAGAAGACGCCGCATCCTAACTGACGCAGCGAAAGAGCAGAAAGCAATGGCTCAAGATGCTCTGGAGCATCAGGCCCAACTACTGACCCAGCAACTCCACCAGCAACGCTTCCTCTTTAGTCGAGCAAAAACTAAACAAGTCAGTCACCCCAATGTAACGGCCTGCTCAGCGGCTCCTTGTTTCCTGTGCCAGTTCCACTTAATACGTAACACATGCGAATACTGAAGCAGGTCAAGTAGCGACGCAACTCTGAATTCCACCTTAGACCTTAAGCATATGCTCTTATCAAAAAAGAAATCTACTCTCCAGATCCCACATTTTTCTAGCGTTTAAGCTGCCGTTATTGGGTGTTCTGCCCGCACTGCACTATAGGTGGCGCTCAAGTTCTCTCACCAGTGGCTGGTACAAGCCCGGCAAATGCTGCGAGCTCGCGCTGAAGGTGCTGAAGAAGATGAACAGAAGTTGCACGAGCTGTCAGAGAGAGAGTTTATGAAACGCTGCAACCTCATGCGGTAGGCATTTGTTTGTGTATGTCCCGTGCACTTCAACAGTCAAGAGCTGATAGGCACAACGAGCAGCACTCACACTCCCCAAATTGTATTGGTCTGAGCTAAAATGAAGGAGACTTGGAATCTTCTTCTGATTAATAAGCTTCTCTCTGGTTCCGTTCTGTTTTGCGAACACTCCAGCAAGACGCTTGCGAAGAGCATGAAACAAGTTGAGTCTCTCGTTCGGGGTCTTATGCCAGACAAGAGTTCGCGAGACACCCCAAGAGGCGATGAAGGTCAAACAATAAGACAGGACCGGCAAGGCCAAGCAGCTAGACTGGCAGTGTGCCTTCAAGAGGTAAGGAACCGCAAGCTATCAGCTAACCACACCTTAGAGAGACTGGCTATCAGAAATATAGACCAGCGAATAATGTAAAAGACAACGCTTGCTGTGCAGCTGCCTATTTTTTGCACGTCATATTGACGACTATAGAGCGATTGTGCAATGCTGGTGTGCCGTAGGTATCGACTTCTGCCACGCAGCTCAACGTCGTTCAGCGAAAATTCCTCAACTCTCGCACATGAAGCACTCCTGCACAATTTTGTACTATTTCTAAGCCAACCTCTACGGTGCACAGCACCTTGTGCACATGACTCCTGTTTCGTATTAGAACATAGTCTTTGGCTTTTGTTGACACTGACTTCCCCGGCAGCAGAAAATGCGAGAGTTATTCTTGTGCCCCTGATGAAAGAGTCATGTTCTGTATAAGGCTTAGACTGTAGTTCATATTTACACTGACTTTCCCTGGTGGCAGAAACTGCGGGCGTCAACTGTGTGACCCTGCGGACACAGCCTATACGCGACGCGATTGGTGCACCTGTTTGCTTTCGGTGCAATCTGGCAGCTAGGCATTATACTTGGCAGTTAGCCGTGTCTATTTAGCTCTTTTGTTTTCCTTATATAAAAACTATTACTTTTTCATTGTCAAAAGCTTGCGTGGCTTTCTACATAAACTATGCCATTGACTTAGCTTCAGAATAATAGTCTACACTGCTGCCCCAGTCACGCCGGTACAAAAAGAGGCTACAGAGCGACGGTAGTCCCCTAGTTGTAAAGCACGTCATGCTGACATGAAAATCCGCACGCCTTAGCTTGCTATTGTTGAATATCTCAGAACTGAAAAATGATGCGGACCTTCAGTACTCCCAGTTACAGTGCAGTTAACTAAACGCGTCGTTTGCATAATTGGAGGCCAGCGTTGAAAAGCCTTCTGCTCAAACAAAGGCACCTTCTGGTCACTCCACTCCGTCATTTCTGTGCCAGATCTCCAAAACGGAACTCTTCATCAAATCAAATAGATCAACACATCTCAGTTGTCCGCGCGCGCTAGTTCGATAAGGTAGGGGCAAGCATAACCTCCACCAGCTACATAAAACAGCAATGTGCCATTGGGGCTAGATTCGTGAACTCATACGCTCAAATTAATTTTAGTTGGCCACGAGATACATTGTCTGGATACGTTGGGCATGAAATATCTCGCTGTGCTTGACACGGACGAACATCTCGCAGAGAAACAACTTATTGGGTTCTACGTAAATGCCATAAATTATATTCACAGTCTGAAATATTTTCAAACGAATCGTATGGCGTATGGCGTCGGTCCAAAGCCCAAACGCTTTGCACTGTGTTGCCCAGCATGCTGCTTGTGCGGAAGGACGACCTGCACGTCACACTGACGCCCGCATGCACTTCAGCGTGGTTACAGGCATTTTCCTGTTCAAAAAATTGAATGGTTCGTGAAGGTGAAGTTTATTTTGCTCAACACATTCGAGAACGACAGAAGCCCCGACAGTCTTGCTCACGAGTATGTATGCCAGTGCAAGGGCTGTCGCTCTCAGGCTCGGTGGAAAAATGCGACTTTCTTAGATGAACTACAGGACCAACTTTTCTTGCAAACATTTTCACTAACTTATATTTATCATTAAATTGGCACATGCATTAGATCCTCTAGAGACATGCTGAACATCCTTGCTGTCTCTCTGCATGCTAGGGTCACCTCGGTCATTCCTATGCTACGATGCATAAACAATACCAGTGACTCTACATCATTCTGGAAAGTTCAGATGTCCGTAACTCGTGTAGACTGGGAGAAAACCCCGCCGTGCATTCAGAGGGCAGGGGAGACACCTGAGTTTGAATCGCCTTAGAACTTTCGCGCTAAAAAAATGAGCGTGAGAAGCCTCCTCGGGTCCTTCTTGGCCTTCGCTGCATGCCTACTTCCACAGATAGCCTGGACATGGTGCCAATTAGATGGATTTGCACTAGGCAGGGGAAAAAGGTTGTATCTACTGAAAACTGGAACTGCACTTGACTGCTCAAGCGCCTGCAAAGCGGTGTCGCGCTGTACACATTGGTCTTTTGACAGCGGAAGGCACTATTGTATTTTGAGAAGCGATGACCCAGCATACAAAATACTCATCCGCAAGCAGGATGATGCCATCTCAGCAACAAAGGACTGCTTACAGGCGCTCTCATGTACGTCGTGTAGTACTAGATTAGCTGGATAGAGCTATGGACTCTACTAAATGTAAAGTGTGCCGAGTAGAAGCATAGACTTTCCACCAGTTTTGCAGATGTAGCGATCGAACGCAAACTGTTTCAGAACTGCCTAGGCATTAGCGTAGTTTGCCTCCCCCGCACGAAAAAGGTCCTCTATGCAGCTTTTGCTGCACAAGAAACTCTTCCTGTTTTTGATGTTGTTTAATTTAGTGACGAATGGAGGCAAATCCTGTTTTTCTGATGGGTGGATAATCTCTCCAACTGAAGCTAGCGGCATTTCACGACAAGAAGAGCATCCTTCTGCCCTTCTTCGTAGTGATACTGCGTCCAGCGCAGAAGGCTGCCAGCGCCTTTGCCAGGGATCCGGAGAACGCTGCGTGCTGTGGGAATGGGATGTGCTACAGAAGCACTGCCGATTATGGGGGACGGGCATTACTCTACGCAGAGTAGACAACCTCCCTTTGGGCTTGTCGGCGTACTCGTCTCCTTTTGATGAAGATGAGCCTGTTGACACTACAGGTGCTCAAAACAAAGACGACAGAATGAGGAAGAGGCTTGAGTCGATGAGGGCTGTTGTGGGGCCAAGTGTTTGTGCAGAGGAATCATTCGTACAATTCCGCGAAGGCAGTGAAGATGTACTGCGTGCCGCGCAATGCACGTTCCCGACAGGTACAGAAAGTGACCCCGTTCAAAGCTCGGTGTATTGCAGCGCACACTTTTGAAGGAGCAATCTTGCAAATATGAGCTTGATGTTTTTGATGCCGAAGAAATCCAGGACGCTTGGATACAGTAGTGCCGACTCTCGAGCGGCTTTTGCGATAATCATACATGACAGTTAGCCAACCACTGTATGCTTCTTAGAAATAATGGACAGAGCTTAGTGCTGTGGAATGCCGAACTTGACGAACATATGAGCATTAGCAGCACCTCGGAACTAGCATTTCAAATTCAGTTATTTTCACTGGTGACTCGAGCACAAGCGCGCACAGCTCTAGAACTTTCTAAAGCGTCTGTGAAGCACACTCAGGCATCTTCGTTATGGAGCACAAGCGGCGTGCGAAGAAATCAGACAGGCGCCCTAAAAGAAAAACAAAAGAGATCTTGTGCATGTCCGTTCAGTAAGTTCGTTTCCGTGGTTAGTGATGGAGAATTTTGTAGTTGGCACCTCTACTGCGACAATAAAAGATGTCGGATCGTCATTTTCATACGATGGTAGAGTCGACGGGCGCAACAGGTATGCCGTCATATTGAAATCAGCTGCAAGTACATTAAAATACGAGGAGGCGGATAACTCCATGACGCAAATATACCATAACGCCCTACCCACAACCGCAATGTCAGGCGTTCTTGTTGGAGTTGACAGCAAAACCCCTTACTTGAATGCTACAACGGACAGAGTCGCCTCCATAAACGAATGCCAGACGCTGTGTAAAAATACGAGCGGATGTCAGTTCTTTACGTTTTACATCGACGGGCGTTCTGGCACAAACTGCGTTCTCAAATCTACTGTGCGCCTGAATGAAGCGTTTATCCATCCTGTTGCCGTCACTGGAGACAAAACAAATACTACTGCTCTAGCAAGTCAGTACACAGGATTAGTCGGTCCCTTCTAAGATTTCACTATCCTCCTCCTCTCTGCATTAGAATTATTTTCTATGTACATATATCACGCCAATTCTCCGTGGAGAGACGAGATCTTATGTGCTATTACGAAGACCACGAGGAACTGCAGAGTGATACGTCATCATATTGCTTCTGTGCCTGTGCCTCTACTTTGTCCGCAGTGCGCGGTATGAAATTTGGATATGAAATGAAGAGCAGCACAATCGTTGCGCCTTATAAAGCTTCATCTTCAGGTTATACGTACAGTGAGCTCCTCACGATGAGCTCACGCGTGGATCAGCTGGCCAAAGAGGCGTGTACTCTGCTTGGAACTAACGGATACGCAGTTATAGACTATATGAGCCGGACGGCTCATGCAGTCCCGGCAAGCGATGCCGTGGAGAGATACATGCCCAGTTTCAACTATATTGACTGCAGCAAAGTAAACTGAACCGTTTCGATTATTCTGCTAGGCGTCCTATTATCTGGTCACCGGGCTCTTATATGTAGACAGTGTCTTTCTTCCTGAGTTCTAATAACCCGAGAAGAAAGACACTGTCTACACATAAGGGAGTATCCCAACCGTATCTGTACAAGGTTTTTCGGCTCACCCTTACAGACTACCTTAGCAAAAAATTTTTCGAGGTCCATACGCTTGCTGCGTCATCTGCATTTAGCCCCTAGAGTGAGCTGACACAGTGGAGCATTCATTCTTCCTACACAGTAGGCCTTGTTGGGCCACTACTCGCTATTTTATTTCATATGCTGTGGAATTGGATCCGGTAATTTCCCACTGAGCGAACAATAGATTGTAAGAGGCATCTACGAAACCTTCAGGCGCTGCGAAATTAAAGAGCAGCGGAGAGGAACGCAGCATGAGTAGGGTTGTACGAACTATAGTATCAATGAGCGTGCTCGCAGGCACCGATGTGGGAATTCCGTTGAACCTTGGAACCGCACCACCGATGGAGTTCAGCCATTAGTCACAGGGCTAGGAAGGGGAAATCTGCTCATATTGCAGTAGTGCTGCTTAGTTGAGATTCTTTCGGGGTAGGCCTTGTTGGGCCACTACTCGCTATTTTATTTCATATGCTGTGGAATTGGATCCGGTAATTTCCCACTGAGCGAACAATAGATTGTAAGAGGCATCTACGAAACCTTCAGGCGCTGCGAAATTAAAGAGCAGCGGAGAGGAACGCAGCATGAGTAGGGTTGTACGAACTATAGTATCAATGAGCGTGCTCGCAGGCACCGATGTGGGAATTCCGTTGAACCTTGGAACCGCACCACCGATGGAGTTCAGCCATTAGTCACAGGGCTAGGAAGGGGAAATCTGCTCATATTGCAGTAGTGCTGCTTAGTTGAGATTCTTTCGGGTTTCTTTAGCTCCTGTTTACGATAAAAATAACAAGTGGTTTTTTGAGCGACCAATCCGTGGCTTGCCTTCACATGAAGCGTTTTGCTAACGATGCCCGCAACTACGTGGCAGATTTAGTGGGTGCAGAGGCTCCCTGATTTTATGTGCCACTAAGCGCATCCTCCACGGCCTCACTTCTAACGTACGCCGACAGTGAGGTAATTTGCCTTTTTAGTTCTTTTTCGTTTATGCCATAATTTGGGCACTTTGTCTGCACTGCGTTGTAGCTCTTCGCGAACAGATACACTCCATACGCTATTTCTCAGGAAAGTCGTGAACTGCTTTTCTGTCTCATCACTGCACTACTGCTGGGAGCGAAACAGATAATTAGGCAGTGGGCAACAAAAGGAATTATCTCTATCGTATTGGTATAGGACAAGCAGCAGCCGCTTGCGCTCCGTGAAGGGAATCGATATGCTGCAGAGAAGTGAAAGTCTCTCTAGCTGACTTTTTTTACAGTTCCCAAATTTCAAGCCAATGCCTAGAGGCGTTACAGCGGTTTTTGTTTAAATTTTGTTAGGCTTTGAAAGCACCTCCATGATACTAGCAACTATACACCACCGCTAGTTACAAGCAAGGACATCGCATTCCTGTACATACTAGTGAAGAAACGAGATCTCACAGGAAAACTAGCGATGATTGTCATTATGAGGATTCATTTTCTTAAGGTGCACTCAAGTGTTGTTATTTTCTGCCGAAAGGCTCCGTTCAGTACAGTCGCCACTCTGCCCCAAAAGTATGAATTATTGAAGTTATATTCCGCTCTGAGACTAGTTACAATTTTTCTCAATTATAAACAAGTTTGAATTTAATACAACGGCGATACACTAGTAGAGTGCTAAACCGCAATCCTACACTGGTTTATTTTTATTGATCAAATGGAATTTTGCTAGCCTTTCTTCCCGGAGGGAGGTGAGTTTGCAGCATTATGAAACGAGACACTCGCCACGAAAACTGGCATCCCTAACTGCTGCATGTGCTTTCCAGCCATTTCATGAGGGACATAACGGTGGGATTCTTCACGGTGTTACATTCGCAGTAATGATGCACTGGAATACGAGTGGGGCAACTGGCAACGTTTACCCAGAGCTCACTGGCTGTACGTTTTGTGCGTTTGAAATGAAAATTCCCACGTGATTCGCCCTTCTAAATATCTTGGTTTGCGCGAATATTGCTAGAATCAGTACTGGCTGTAAACTGTGTCACTTGGTCCAAGTTAGTTTGTTGGCTCGCCGCTCTCACCATAAAGCCTGTAGCCCATTGTAAAACTTCACCTAATGACCCTTCACCTGACCCAATCCTCATCCCTTTGCTTGATGGTGCGTGCCGAAGCAGCGCAAGCATGCTGAAAACGCTGAAAATGCCACCCAAAGGACAAGGTCCTGAAGGACAACCTGCCGATTTCCGTTATGAATTCCAGCTTACTGCATTCGTTCTGAACTGAAAAATTTATTAGATATTGTGGCGCTGTTGGGAAGCTAACGACAACGCACGACCGCTGAAATCAAAGACTTGACGAGGACACGCTGTGATTTCAGCACGTCATTGAGTACCCCTGTAGCTAGAAGACAGAGTGACGTATATCAGAGGAGTGCAGATATTTTTCTTCACCAACAGCATTCTTGGAATGTCCTAGTGATCTGCATGACGGAGAATTCTCAATAAGTGTTATGCGCAGATATTACAATAGGGCTTGCTGGTGATCGTGAGGGTAGCCAGCCGATGAACAATAAGAGCTTAACATGCTGAACAAGAGCAGAAGCTTCATACTAGTCACGAAGTAAGGCAATATATCAGAAAAACGGCATGTGTAAACTAGAACTGTCTGTGATCACCCTAAGACTCGGGCTGGCGATAACGGCGGCGCCTGTAGTGAACAGCTGGCCTACACTGTTACTGCGTATGGTCCCTGGGCTAGTCTGAGTAAGTGCACACTCTGCATATACTATCTAAAATCCATGATTCTCGCCAACTACTACTGTATACCCTAAATAGCCATATACGACTGAGTTCATATTATTGAAAGGTAAGAAAAACCCAAAATAATAGAACTGACTGTTGACCCTCGCTGAGGGTCATTGCCTGAGTCACGGCACCAACCTCGCATCCAGCCCCATACCCTGTGCTGGCGAGCGAGCACCCTATTCCCTTTTATGATTTTCTAATATCCAATGGTGCCTTATACCTTAAAATATTCTATATTATTCATGCCCTTTCGCGCTACTAAGCCTCGAGGGGTGGTGACGAAGGTCAATTGTAGTGCCTGGCACTACAGCGCTGGTTGCACCGCCCCAACCGGATCAAAGAAGAGAAACCATGATTGGAGACCTTCTTGAGAGTTCTGTGGACAAACGCTAAGGATGAAGGTTTATTGATTAATTAGTATTGTTGAATGAGATATGAGACGAATGTAGAGTGTCTGTCACACGGGCGCACTATTCGTGCGTCACGCGGTAACGTAGTAGCAGCACAGAACGCTGTGCACTGCAATAAGCTTCTTCATTTCGTAGGTCATGAAGTACATAATCTTCCTGTGAACTACTGCGCTCTTTTCTGCATAAATACAGCGAATACACTGTTCGGAATACACTGTTCCTCATGAATCATTAGATTCAGTCATGCTTTGACATTTTATTCCTGTATTGTAATATGGAAAGGAATTTTTAGTAAAGTAGCAGCTACACAAAGAAAAATAAAGCTAGCCCAGCTTGATTGTAGCAGCTCCGTGCAAAACCAGGCTGCTTTCGTGCTGCTTCAGTGGTATTCGTTGAGTGCACTGAAGTCATGACTGCCACTTCTAAATTTTAAAATTGTATCTATGCTAACGAGCAGAAAAGTCTGTACCTTTGAAAAGGTCACGGACATTTACTTACTGGCTCAGCTTATATCAGGTCCGTCTGAAACTCGCTGACTTTCCAAGCGTCTCTGCCCTGGATTCGAGGCTTAACTACTTCTCCTGCCACATGCGGTGTAGTAGCCGTAGAACTGCGGTTTTCTCTGGACCTATTAAATCCGTTTTTTACGTACAAATAGACACCTTGAGGACGCTTGTATTTCTCTGAACTCAGAAAAGAAGCACACTCATGTTTTGCGGTGAAATTGCGCCTCATTATTGATCACACTGTGCGTGCACAATTGCCTTCTCTGCAACACCACATGCCTTCGGCTCGTATGAATAGTGAATGCATCGCTCACAGTAAGCAGCCCTGCGTTTGGAATGAAAATGCTTTCCTTCCTAAACTGAGTTGGGAGAACAAAACGTTGCTTCACAAAAGCTTTCAAGCAAGTGTCTACTCGGCTCAGTTTAAGTTCAATATACCAATAGAGTGTTTCTAATCAATGGAAACATTTTACATAGTCAATTCACCTGAGCATTGATCCCACACAAAGAGGATGAGTTGAAGGAGTTCCAAATTGCCCCTCAAAATAATGTGGAATAGGTTATCTTCATCTTCAGTTCACAAATTAGCGTTTACTTGGGGAAAAAGGGCGTCTACGAGCTGAACACTTTCTGCAGGCGCCCCATCCAGTATAACGTGTGTGTGTAACAGAACTGAAGTGTACCATGCATGAGGCCGTACAACGAAATATTCGCCCGGTAGTTGTCCCTGCAGCTTGATACTTATTATCCAAGTGGAAAGCAGCAAAGGATACAGAGTTACAGCAAAATGCAAAAGAATGGGGCGATAAGCTGTGAATGATAAACGGCCCCAGAGCAAAAACCGTCCTGGAATGGGGGCAGAAGGCACATATGACAAGGTAAAGCCTGAAAAAGGTAAAATGCAAAGTGGAAAATATAGAGACACAGTGGTACTCCAGAGTAGCACGTTACAAGAGACGCTCATTGTTGGTAAAAGCAAGCGGCTTACATTGGCGAAGGGTAACATTCAACAACGCCAAAACCAAAGAGCTGTTTTGCCAAGTTCAAGGATGGATAATGGCACCTCAGTAATTCAGAAGTGAAGCTCTAAAATGTACAGATAGAATATCACCAATCAGGCAATTCACCGCAGACGCGATTGGTTACGTCCAAG